ACTAGCTTGGCTAAACATACAGACTTTTTACAGACTTGTAAGAAGCTCTCTTTAAACCTCTTTTTGGTTTTCTGTGGCTCCAAGCAACTATGTAATATCAAATATAATAGTTGTGATTACACTATACTAACATACCCGCTGGTGTCTGAAGAAAGTGTTTAGTGCAATACATGCAAGGCCCATATGTCTGAAGATTCTTGAAATCCTACTGAAAGATCCACCAGAAACCAATGTTGCAAACGATAGCAAGAAATTACCCGCCATTATTTTTGTTCCAGGCATAGCTGTCTGACTGTCCCACACAAACTCCTTGTTGCACTTTGTATTGGTACATATAGATGATACTTTAGCCATCGTCCCAACTTCATAGGTTGTCACCAAGGGGTTTGGAGCATGACAATAAAAACAGAACTTGAATAACATAAGTAGTTGGGTAAAACAAACTATGAACTTTGGCTCTGTACGAATGTTATCATCGTCCATGTACACCTCCCTGTTGAAAAACCAAAATCATATCAGGAACGGGAACAGGAACATGGAACAGGAACATGAAGAAAATAGGATGATAGGATGTAACAAATAATCTTACTGTAACTAGATTTAATGTCATAAAGCGTACCTTGAATACTTTCGATCCTCATCAATCTCAGAGTCTGTGTCAGTACTTGTTTCTTTTTCATAATCATAATCCATGTCTTCGTCACTGTCACTTTCACATTCGTCCGATTCCATACGAACTTCAGATTCACTGCTTTCTTCGGGTTTCTTTTCTATCGGCTCAATGTTTACTTCCTGTGCTATTTGAGTTTGGCTGGACTCTACATGCGAAAAGTCATGAAAGAGATATTAAATTGTCAACAAAAAAACTAGGTTTATCTGTAGGATGGAAAGTCCTACAGAAGAAGTTGTTTTATACATACCAGTTTGTTCGACTTTTTCTTGCTTCCTGAGTGCTAACAACTAACTGCAGCTAACCAGTTATTTCTTAGTTGTCTATTTCTCTTTGAAAGTCTAACGCATTCGGAGCACGCTGTTGAAGCCTAATTGTAAACAACAAAGAGAGTAAATCTTAATCGAACAAATATAATTGCGGCGAAGCCGCTAAATTTTTTAAAGACATCAACAAAAGAACAACACAAAGCATATGCATTAGGCGATAATCGTAAAACAACTTACAAATAGTAAATTATTGAGTAATTATGTCGAATAGCGGCGTTCGAACAGATTGCGCTACCACTAAATKTTTTGATGACATCGACAAATAAAGTATTATAATTAACGCAAAGCATAAATATAACTTTACGCACGCCGACAGAGGACAAAACTTACTTTTTCAATTGGCTCTTTGTCAAAAACATTGCTTTCAAAAGACGGGGAAGTAACTTGTAAGACGTTGGTAGCTTGGGAGTCTTCTGTTTCCTCAGAGAACACAACAGGATCTTCTTCGTCCTCAACAATGTTGCCCTCGTCGACCTGTTCGTCAATCTGTAAACTTATATTTACTCCTGGATCTAAACTTCGCCTCAAAAGTGTGTCTCGTTCTTTCTTTTTCTACAAGAGAGCGTATGGTAACATTTTAAAATCTTTAAATTATTATAAATTAAAAGTGAATTCCTTACACGTTTACCTTACGTAAAGTTCGTGAAGAAGGGAGCTGCCACGGTGTTGCCACATCTGTTGATTTTTGTGTTGGATAAGCTGTTATTCCAAAGTCATCTTTTTTAAGCCTTATGAAATTTTTACTGTTTGGTATGTCAAACATAAAAGCTTTTTGATAATCTGACTGAATAAAATGCTCCGAGCATACAGCAGAGAGTTTTGTTGCCTTCCAGTTYGCGCGTGTGTTCGAGACAAAGTCCGTCCACCTTTTACGCCTTCTTCTTGCTTCTGGCCTCYCATCGTCGAAAAAGGGTATACGATGCAATGATATCCCTAATGCTGCATTTGCCTCATTCCAGTAGCCACCAACAACGCACCGATCAGGCATTTATATTGTAACGTTTCCGAGAGTAGACTTGAAGACTTGACAGAGTTCGCTTTTCACAGCGCACTCTACTCCACAACTTCAGAGACTGTCGTCTTCAGAAGTCCCTTAAGCTACGTCATCACATTCCTGGGCACTACTATTTCAATCGCTCAAGATTGATTACACAGGAAATCCAAACATAGCTTTTTTGCAATGTTTACGACGTTGTAAAACGTTCACGGGGGAAAAAGTCTCAATTCTTCAAAAATGTGCTTTTTATTAGTTTAGGTTTTCATTAGGTTTTTATTAGTTTAGGTTTTCATTAAAAATGACAAGAATTAAGCATTATAGGCACTTTAACTAAAGAATTTGTACGAAAACGAAGAACAATTTGTTCGTCTTATTTCAAAAAATCTGCTTGCGTTTTGAATACATTTCCATCGTAAAAAAGGGTTTTTACTTTGGATATGGGAGAATGGCAAATGGTAGTAAGTGTTAGTAAAGTCAGCACTGTTGTGTAAATGTCCCTCCACATCCATAGCAGCTTTTGACATTGTTGGGTAGCATGACCAGGAGGTGACATACCGGAATTCCATTGGTTGGACTAGTCAAATGAAAATTGTGAGCAGATGGCAAGTTTATTGTACTGAAATTCCCCACGTTAGGTGGCATTTGATTTTGGACGTTGTAAGAAGTGTTAGGTTGTGATGTTACTAAGTTAGTGTTACCAGGTGGCAAGTTTGTGGGATTGAAACTTCCCACGTATGGTGGCACTTGATGCGATGTTACTATGTTAAAGTTTGCACTGGTATAGACATTGCTGATTCTTGTGTCACTACCAACAGTATGAGAAGCTGGTAGCTGGGGTTCCGGTAGGATATTATTTGAATGGGATGCTCCGTTTCTTTTTTTAGTAATTCCGCCTTTACGTTTTTGACGTTTTCCTGGGGATGTTAGCTTGACTCAGGATCTACAAGAAGACCGTTGTCGTTCGCTAGACTTAATATCTCCCGTCCAGTGCATTTAGCATTTTCGACTTCTCTGTTGTGTGCTATTTTCTTTTTGGTGCCATACGACTTTCCGCAACCACCTTTGGATAAGCCAACCTGAAACGATTTCAGCTCGGCAGCTAGAAGTATGCTGTTTCTAGCATCTGCATACGCTGCTTCCAAAAGAGAAAGATTAGCACGATCACGGTGAGACCATCCGGCATGCATAACTTCCGCCTGGTTCATTTTTGGACTTAGGTGAAAACGCTTTGAAAATGAATGCACGACAAGCGTCCCACCAAAAAAGCCAGGACGACAACAATTTTCTGTTGTCAGCTTCATTTATGAAAGATTCCATACCTTTCTTAGCTCTGAGATATGTCTCTTCAATGGACGAATTAAGCATCTACAAGGATTCCGAAATCTGTCGTCGTCCCCCAGTTTTGAAGCCATCCTATTAACGCTTTGCTGATAGTGGAATTCACAGCTTTTTATTTTTGTTAAAACCCTTTCACCAAAGGCAGCTTTCAAGCCATTCATGTTTGACCCTGTCATGTCAGTACACCATCCACRGGGATTAAAGCTCTCGTTTTTATCAGTTTTGTCTATACATTCCTTGAATAGTTCCCAAAACAGTTTGATGTTCTCGCAATCCTCCTTTTCTGTTTCCATAACTGCTAATGGAATTTGCTTTTTAAGTAGAGGATGGTAAGTACTTGCTGTGCACCTTTTAACCTTGCCATYGAAAAAACAGTACTCATCTTTCATAAAATGTTCTCCCGATTCATTCATATTGATTGCAATCTTTATTCTCTCCTTGCTCGTTTTAAAARCGAACGTCGGGTGGTCCGTATTACCACGCCTGTTGTTAACTTTATACACAATTAGGTTGTCTTTTTCGTCACAAAATTCTTTGAAGCTTAATATTGCGTCGAAATTTTCGCCATTTGGATTTATGTCTTTTTAATTTTTTTGTTTCTCATTAGAAATCCATTTTCGATTGACAACGTCAAGTGCGTTCTTTTCAATTTTATCTCATCCCTCCTTGCTCCGTAAAGATGACATTAAGACAGCCGACTGAACAGCAGAAGGCGTAAGGTTTGGATTGCTCTTTAGCATTTCTTTTACAGTGTGTTTTTTTTTCTGGCCTGTGTGCAATGAAACACTTTCAGTACCTTTTCTTTTTGGATAAAGTACCTCCTTGCTCCACAAGAAACAAACTTTCCTACTTTTTCGCATATGCGGCATCTCATAACGCCATTATGTTGTCGACATTATGTTGTCAACTGTGTGCAGTTGACGACAACATATTGTACACGGTAAGGGCATTTTTGATTTTTGCACTGGAATGAGCCACGGCAATCTGCACATCGGACATTACCATATCGTTTCCACTGCGTCACGTTGCTCTTTTTCCACTTTCTTCCGTCAGATTTTAGAGCCTTTATTTTGTCGTTTTCTGTTATTATACCTTGCATATGGTACAATACCAGGCCATCTATTCCGTTTGGTAATAGACCGTCAATCTTTACCACATTTGTACCAAATTCCTTGCTTTAACTGATAAAATCAACTTTGCTAGACAAAATGTCGCTAAGTGATATCATGATATTTTAAACGTTGACCTCTCAGGCAAAGAAATCAAAAAATTTACAAGGAAAAAGATGCCTACAAAATCATTAAATTCGCCTTTCTGTTATTGATAAACAAAGTTTCTTCTTGTTCTAATTTGAAATCTTTGCCCACACAAGAGTGTCTAACACTAGAAAGGATATTGATTCAGTTTTGTAAGCATACAACTTGAAACTCCATGCGATCTGCACATGCGCGTACTTCTGATGCCTAGACAGATGCATTCCGATGAGGTCATAGATACCACATTTGTAAACGAATAGTTTTTTTATCACATAAAAGCGCAAGTAGCATTTGCCATTTGTTAACGATATTCGTACATCTATACAATTGAGCTTCCGGAGATGTAGCAACACAGCCAACCCAATAGTTAATTATTAAATTCTTAACTTCCCGTGGTCCAAATGCGACATAATACATCTATAGGTTGATAGACTAAAAGGTTAACTCAAGTCGACCTAGCCTTCGGCTATTCCGACTAACAAGAAGTGGAAGAGTTGTAGGCGGCTGGAATGTATTTTTTTTTTAGAAGTTGTGTGTGGGTGTTTGTGTTTTGGGGGCGAGGGGCAAAACCTTTTTCGCCTCAGGTAAGGGGGGTCAAATTAAATTGTGACTTTTAAATATAATCACCCCCCTTCCCCTATAAATGATGAACGGGCCCAAAGGAAACAATCGCTACAATTCTTACCCCATAAACAGTATTAACTACTAGTTAACTAGATGTTTTTCGTTTTGGCTCGAGCATTATCCCACAGAGATCTTCGTCAATGGAAATGTCACCATTTGGTCAGTATATAGTGTAAGGCACAGGTGCTAATGTGACTGTGGTCTGTTTAGGTGTTGGGGGAGCTTGATTTGACGAGATTGCTATGCAATCGCAAAATCCAAATCCTCTACAGGAGCAACTGCACGCACCATTGCAGGGGCAGCCATCCATGGGATTTTGTTTACCTCCTGCTGCAACAAACAGCTCCTTCCATGTCAGGTACAGCGTGTCGACCTCCAGGTCATATCTGTTTTCCATATGTCGCCTGAACTTCTCTCTCTGCTCTTTTGTTAAGATCTTTTCGAGGTTGTACAAATCAAGAACAGCTTGGATTGATTCACTGGTGAATTGATTACTTTGACTGGACTCTCTAGGTACTTCATGACTCTGACTGGACTCTCTAGGTACTTCATGACTC